ATATGTACAAAACCTGTGTTTGTGTAGGAATGTCTATTTAGATATGTACAAAACCTGTGTTTGTGTAGGAACGTCTGTTTAGATACGTACAAAACCTATGTTTGTGTAGGAATGTCTGTTTAGATACGTACAAAACCTATGTTTGTGTAGCTATGCATACAACACTTATTTAGTTAGGTGTGTGTATTTACAAAACCTTTAATTTCATTCATGATCTAATCAGGTTAGAAGAAAAGTTGGATAGCTAGGCCAGTAGTTTTGTGAGATTGTTATTCTCATGCTGAGACGACTAACTCAAACAGTTTGTTGGTCATATCAGTTTCATTCACTTCTTATCCTCCCACTGTTGTTTTTATAGTACCATAAGTATTCCATTTGGTTGAAACCACAACATTTTGGTGATAATTTTGAAATGTTTCTGCATTCTTGGAAAAACTTAAAACATACACGTATACATTGTTTATTTTATTTTGTAAAGGTAAAAAATTGTTTTTGTTCTGTTGTTTAGTTCTGATACTTAAAGTAAAGTAGTAAAGGAGATTTAGCAAGCTTGAGATACAAAAGATCTAAGTCAGTTATATTAGAGTTTCTAAAATATTTAACTTTATTTACAGAACATTTTGCATACAGCATTTTGCTTGTTTAACCACAGCATCCAAGGATGTTGGAACCAGGTTTGATGTGTGAGAGTGCTGTGCATGCATGGTTCCATTGTATACAGAGATTTTGAATTTGTTCAGTTTGTTTTCAGCACCTCAGTGCTACAAAACGTTGTTACAGCATCAGTGGTAGCATCCTGAGGCAATAGGCAACAAGACTTAAGTTATTGGTGAAATTTCTTCTCCTTGAAAAAGTAGTTGTTAAAATATAATTGTTTTAGCTGTTGGAGTTTTCTTTATAATTATCTTTCTACATGCAGATACTGTGTTCTAATTCTTGGTACATGAAATAACATTGAAGTAATTTGTAGAGTTTGAACCTGGATGTCCATGTGATGAAATTCAACACAGTGTATTCCTTTTATGTATTAAGAGTACAATAAGAATATAGTTGTGTGTATGTGATATTATTGATTATGAAAAATGGAATTTAAAAGTGATGGTACATAATTAAACATGCTGTTGTTCAAATCTTGAAAGGACAAGCAAAGTTTATAGGATATACAGTAAGTTGGTTTCATATATCTTGAAGTCTTTAGTTCTATGTTGTTTAGAGACAGGGGGATACTTTATAATTTTTTTTTCAGTTTCAGTAAGATACCAGTGTATTTGGTGTTGCTCCACTTTCTCGAGGAATACCCACTTGCTAAGACATCAGCAGTACCACTGTAAGAAGCGCCCTCAATCATTCAGGATGAAGTTTGTGTGTGAAATCTGTCATAAAGGATACAGCAGATTGGAAGTGCTGAAGAACCACAAGATGTTTTGTCAACACGGCAATGATGTTACAGGCTTTGGAGAATTAGCAGAGGATGACCCATTTCACCTAAGTCAGACCTGATTAAGTTTGTGTAACCTTGGAAGTTCACCAAAATCAGGTCTGATTCAATTTGTATAACCTTGGAAGTTCACCTAAATCAGACTTGATTCAATTTGTGTAACCTTGGAAGGTCATCTAAATCAGATCTGATTCAGTTCGTGTAACCTTGAAGTATACCTTTTGATTTTGTCTGTAATGATGAGTAATGTTAATCACATACTTTTTACTCTCTGACAAAAAATGTTATGAATGACCTACAGAATATTTAGTTTTCAATCAAGTTTGTATTTTAAAAAATATACAAATGAAGTGACATTATAAATCTTTCTGCTTGAGGTTTATGGCACACAACTGTTTTAAAATTCATCATGTTCTTGAATTAATGTTGTCAGTCTCCTATTTCTTGTTAGTTTCCTGTTCTCTATGTTATCAATCTTGTATTCATAATGTTGTAAATCGTCTGTCCTTGATCTTTTGTTATCAATTCTGTGTTAATGATGTTGTCAATTTCATGTTTCCTGTTTTCGATGTTATCAGGCCTGTGTGCTTTATCTTGATCTCTGTGTTGTCTGTTTCCTGTTCTGTATGCTGCCATTCTTTAATGTTGTCAATCTTCTTTTTTTTTATATTGTCAGCCTTTTGCTCTCTGTGTTGTTAATCTTTTGTTATTTGTTCTCTGTCTTCTGTTTTTCATGTTATTCATCAAATACTTCTTCATATATAGTTGTATCTGTTACTTGCCAATTTTAGAATGCCTGAACTTTATTTATAAAACATAATTTTTTGATGAACTTATCTTTTGAGTTATTATATTGACATAGTGAAATTGTTCCTTCTGCAAACACTTCTGTTCTATATGCGTGTCCCTTGGTGGGACAGTGTTAAGTTTCAGGACTTAAGACACTAAAAGTTTAGGTTTGATTCTCTATGGTATACAGAGTATAGATTGCTCATTGTGTGGTTTTATAGTAAGAAACAGACAAATAATTCTAAATGTTGGTTTTCAAAACAGTACAGTTGCCTTTTTATGTTCATTTTTTCAGTATATTGTTTTTAGGGTTTAAGCAGCACTTGTGGAAATGTTTTCTAGGGGTGATTATCTATGAATTGAATCTTTTATATTTCCTTGTTTTGAACTATATCCTCTTTTAAAAGACTAAGGGTCTTAGTAGTCTCAAGATCTTTTGTCATTTTTTTTATGGCAAACTCTAACAGTGATGCCTTCTGCTGGAAAACATGTTGAGTCTGCAGTCACATCTCTGGCTTTTTCCAGTTTTTTTCTTTAAAATTGAAACGTCTTTCTAAAAATCAGTGAAATTGTATGCTAACAAACAAGCAGAATAAGCAAAGAAAAGTGTTGTTATTATTATTCTCTAGTGTTTAAGCCAGTGACCTGAGTGAAATATTGGATTGGTGCAGATGCACCCACGATCAGCCGTTATCATGATTGGATTTTGACAATCTGCATTTGTGTGTTCCGAACGTCCCTAATATATATATATACTAGAGAAGTGTTTCAAGTTTCAAAATGTGAATCACACACTTATCAGACTACAAAAATGACACATTTTCATCAGAATACAATGAATACAATTGCCTGGATATATCGCATATTTTCATAGGTAAACAAACTTACCAATCTGATCTTCTTAAAAATGGGATCGGAAAACATCGGGAAATTCTTTAAATTAGATCATTATCAATGGCCGATACAGAGATCGATCCAGGTTTACGATTGTTATTGTTTCATGTTTTATATAGATTTTAAAACTGTTACTGTTTTCTTGTGATGTTTATTCCAATTTTAACTGTATTGTAAAACTGTTATTGTTCTCTAGTGATGTTGGTTCCAGTTTTTACTGTATTGTGAAACTTTATTGTTCTCTAGTGATGTTGGTTCCAGTTTTTACTGTATTGTGAAACTGTTATTGTTCTCTAGTGATGTTGGTTCCAGTTTTTACTGTATTGTGAAACTGGAACCAACATCACTAAAGAACAATAACAGTTTCACAATACAGTAAAAACTGGAACCAACATCACTAGAGAACAATAACAGTTTCACAATACAGTAAAAACTGTAACCAACATCACCAAAGAACAATAACAGTTTCACAATACAGTAAAAACTGGAACCAACATCACTAGAGAACAATAACAGTTTTTACTGTACTGTAAAATTGTTATTGTTCTCTAGTGATGTTGGTTCCAGTTTTTACTGTATTGTGAAACTTATTGTTCTCTAGTGATGCTGGTTCCAGTTTTTACTGTATTGTGAAACTGTTATTGTTCTCTAGTGATGTTGGTTCCAGTTTTTACTGTAATGTGAAACTGTTATTGTTCTCTAGTGATGTTGGTTCCAGTTTTTACTGTATTGTGAAACTGTTATTGTTCTTTAGTGATGTTGGTTACAGTTTTTACTGTATTGTGAAACTGTTATTGTTCTCTAATGATGTTGGTTCCAGTTTTAACTCTACTGTGAAATTGTTAATTTATTGTTTAATTTCACAAAATGAAAAACCATGCTGTTCTAAAAACTAGATGAAACATTTTATTGAAACACCAGTTTTCAAAGTAATCATGTTACTTAGCCTCTTAATACTTCAGTCGTGGGGTAAAAAATTAACTCAGCTTTATGGTTTGGATTTTTCTGAAGAAAGAAATTAAAAAGTCTTAAAAGCAGTGTATTTTAATTATTGGTTATTCTGAATGCTCCAGAGATTCTGTGTACAAATGTATTATTAAGCAATTAATTATATTTCAAAAATGTAAAGTAGCCCATTAATGAAATGTTTTACTTGCAAATTTGTTGTCTGTTTTTTAACTGCTTTGAGATTATATTGGGAAATATATCAAGAGAACATCTATTATTTCTTTAGCAGGTTAACAAAAGTTATGTAAATAATGTCTTTAATACTGGGTTATGTAACATAAGTGTGCAAGTTTGATAGATTTATATACATTTTGAATTTTTGTAAAATTTGAATCTTAAGATGTGTTTGTTAAGTAAGAATACACGTTATTTGGGACAGCATCATAATGCTGCTGTTTCTAATGTCTTGCCTTCTTCCAACAATATGCTGTGTTTGTAGACACCTTGGAGATATTTTGTCCTCCCAGGTAACCACAGCTTCATCAGAGAGTTTAAGTGTTTCAGTGTACTATTTAGTAGATATGCTGTAAGACCAACACTATTTAGTAGATATGCTGTAACACTAACACTATTTAGTAGATATGCTGTAACACTAACATTATTTAGTAGATATGCTATAACACTAACTATTTAGTAGATATGCTGTAACACCAACACTATATAGTAGATATGATGTAACACTAACACTATTTAATAGATATGCTATAACACTAACTATTTAGTAGATATGCTGTAACACCAACACTATTTAGTAGATATGATGTAACACTAACACTATTTAGTAGATATGATGTAACACTAACACTATTTAGTAGATATGCTGTAACACCAACACTATTTAGTAGTATGCTGTAACACCAACACTATTTAGTAGATATGCTTTACACTTATTGTCTCTCTGTTACTTGGTAGGTCCACAAACTGCAGTTATACTCTAACCACAAGACTTACAGCAGTGTCTATGGAGATGATACTATCAACCCAGTAAAGTCTGTTACTTGAAGTGAAATGTATGGTAACATATTCTAAATGAGATTTCTGGATGATAATTGTTTTATTAGCCATTCTACGTATTGCTTCTGTTTCTAACTTTACACAAAGCAGAATAACTAGAGGGACTACTGCTTTGGGGTTATTTTAAAGTAATATGCTGGCTCAAATCCTAGTTGCTATTTTTTGTACTTTAAAAAGGTATATATATATATATTAAGACTAACAAGTTGTCACTGAAAAAAGACTTGGAACTGGATGTTAAAGTTTCTGATTGTATGAGTATTTTGTTTGTCTTAGTTTATTCACTATACAAAATTTGCATTATCAGTTATAATTGGAGTTTTCATATGCTTATGTGTTTGGTAACTGAAAGATAACCTTTTATTTACTTGTATTTTGGTGGATTATGAAAGGTTATATATACGGAGATCTTGAAGTAACATGTATTACTTAAGTTTCTTTTATTGCTTTGGACATGTGTATTTGTTATGAAAATAAAGTTGGTTTGGTGATTTTTTTTATCTCATTGTTTTAGTAATATAAGGTTTTGTAAAACTTCATTTTGTAATCCTAAACTTATGATTGATTAAAGATGTTTGTATTCATTCTGTACTGCATTTTTGTCATTATAAGCTTAATAATGATTTGCTTTTCAAATGCAATGTGTTAAAAATACTTTTTAATCATTGACTGTCCCAGAATTATTCAGTAATCTCTTGTAACAAATGAAAGATATTTTCTCTTACAGAAAGGAATATATACAGACACACTCCGGAAGAAGGAAGGTTTTGTAAGTGTCCTTTGTGTGGCATCTATGGGTTACTAGCCAAAGTTTCCTATTCATCATGATAGGAGTCAAACTTTCTCTAAACGTGAATTACCGTTTATTAGAACTAGTTAATATGAATGGTATTTTAAAGTAGAATACCATGAATTAAAAATAGTCCACTTTAATACATTTTGTGACAAGCTAACGGTGTTCTGCAGTTACTTTAATCAATTATTCAGTGGACATCGATTCCATGATGTTGAAAGTGATAGATTATTTTTTATTTTATGTGTGTATGGGGGAGGGGGGGGCATTATTAGGGGCTGTTAGAGTGATTGAGATCAACTGAATTTTTGGATTATTGCTCGTCACTTTCGTAACTTTGCTGTTTCTGATGTTGTGTTCAAAACAAGATTGGAAACACAGCAGATTCGTTAAGGTGGTGCTAAGTGAGTTATCTGGGTTTAAACTTATCTTGATCTTTTTACAGCTGTAATATCTTTAAACATGAGCTGAACATTGATGCTTCTTTAAGCCTAATTCAGTGTACATAATTTTCTTGGTTTTAAAGGCTGTAGCATCTATGACCTCATTGACCACTTTTTCCAAATATGTTTTTGACTTTGCATTCCTATTTGATCACAAAACTGTTCGATGATACTATCCTGCAGGAATCTAGTTATTAGATTGTATCTGTGATAGGAAATATACTAATTTGGTTACATTGTATAAAAATCCCACCAGATTGTAGTGATGTATTGTGATTTGAGAACAAACTTGAATATACATGGAAAATTGTGAAAAAGTAGAGTTACTGTGTACTTCCTTGATGACTAATTTCTGTAAAACTTCTTTTAAATATATTTCCATTGGTACTACTGTTTTGTGAAGGCTACTCATGAATTTCATACCAAGATATATATATATGTATTTTCTCGCATGCGTTAGATCTCGCTTGTAGATTTTATCCATGTCACTTTTGTTGCAGTCTTATTAAATTATTTTATATTCAAGGAGGAGATTGTTAGATTAGAAGTAGATAGAATTGAATGTAGATTTCACTTACAAAAGGCTGTAAAGATATTATTAGCAGTTTGTGTTTTAACTTGTTTTTTAAGAAAGTCACTCCACTCATGTACAGTTCCTGGTTGTGACTTAATAATACTGGGAACAACAGATAAAACCTTTACAGCTCACAAACTAACCAGTTTCCAGGGTTTTTTTTGTTGATATATATATGTACACACAATGTGTAATTTTTATTTATGACAATTTTTAAACCTCTTTAATCCTATAAACAACAAAACGTAGTGAAGTTTTGGAAATAAATGACAAGTACAGTGATGAATAAGTGTCACAGATAAGCAAATGGTAGAACAGTATTTACTTACCTTTATAAATATATATATTTGTTTTCTTTCTGTGTATTGAGAATCAATTTGCCAAGAACCAGGTGTGCACTAATGGTTAGCAAACTGAGCTGCAGATTGGAGGGTCCAAGATTCCAGCCACACTCAACACATTATGAAGGCATTATAGCTGTAACAGTCAATCCTGCTATTCAGATAGAATGTACTGCTGGCTAGTTGTCAACTCTCAGATCATTAAAGATAATTATACCTTTAACTTTGGGATCTCTGGCCTGACCATTTAGCCATATATATATATATATATAGCATAAGGTGCTGATCAGGTTGAAATGACCAATGCCAAGTCCATTTGTTAGAAATAGAAGCATGCTATTAGGATTATATAAGATCAGCTGTATACTTGATGTGTTTAGTCCAGTGTAACAAAAGCTCAACACGTACTTCTTTCTTTATTATCAACATCTACAGCTTGAATTTATTGCTGGAATAATTTTTTTTTATAAACAACAGATTAATTTGTGGTTTTAAACTACATGACATAAAACGATAGAGAATCGGAATTTGTTGTATTATACAACAAGGCAGAACTACTGTTACGAAATAAAACGTCAGCTACACCTAGTGTCTTATAATGACCAGTGTTTCCCAATAGGTGGGTCTTGGCTCACTGGTGGGCCGCGAAAAGGTTTAAGATTAGAAGACAATATTAAAAAATATTGCAATACAGCAAAATCATGATGCAAACTACATAGTACCTAACAAAATATAAACTGTAAATTAACGTCACTGACATTAATCCATAATAGTCACTATGGGATCACATTACTATACGTATCATACTTCTGTAATTTTCTGCGGTGAGGTTAAGTGGACCATACTACTGAAAAGGTTGAGAAACGCTATTATAATCAATCTTGTGGTACAAAATGAATGGTCATTTAGCCTCAAGTTTCACTGAGGGGAGAGGGGGGGACTAAACGTGGCAAGATTTTGCTCGAAGGAAGGAGAACACAACACGAGAGTTGCCGGCTCTTCCCAACTGAGGTGTTCACGAATCATCGTCCCCTTCAACCCCGCAGATGTAATTGTTTGACTCCAAATGTGTAGGATTTCAGGTACATGAGTTGTATCTAGCTGAATGAAATATTTAAAGAAAGGAAGGAAGCTGTGAAGAAGGTCGGAGAAAGGCATATAGGACTTCTTAACTTCACTGGTTGAGATTGTCCGGTGTTTGAAGAGACCGAAGCATGTCACGCAAGTACCCAGTTTTGAAATTCGTATTGATTTATTTCATGATAATATTCCAAGTGGCATTGTGATTAGATTGAGTTCAGTATTTAAGTCCGATGCCTGATTAAATTTAGTTTTGGGGTGAAACCGAAGTACCCAGAGAAAATCTACTTTCACTGGTTGGATGCCGATTTATCTATCCAACCAGTTACCCAACTGGATATCTGAAAGGAAAGATTGTTACACATACATGTAAAAACTAGCGAAACTATATTTCTACATGTAATGTTAGAGGTTGGGATGGCAGGGTTGTCTTCTTCTGTTGTATCGTGGTCGGAGAGAGACTACACGTTGATCTCAAGTATAACAATGTTGGAAGATGGTGGTAGTGGACTTCTGGCTGTTTCGGGTACTTGGATAAGTCAGGGTTATCTTCTTCTGTTGTATCGTGGTCGGAGAGAGACTACACGTTGATCTCTAGTGTAACAATGTTGGAAGACGGTGGTAGTGGACTTCTGGCTGTTTTGGGTACTTGGATAAGTCTGGGTTGTCTTCTTTTCTTGTATCGTGGTCAGAGAGAGACTACACGTTAATCTCTGGTGTAACAATACTGTAAGACGGTGGTAGTGGACTTCAGGCTGTTTCGGGTACTTGGATAAGTCAGGGTTGTCTTCTTTTGTATCGTGGTCGGAGAGAAACTACACGTTGATCTCTGGTGTAACAATACTGGAAGACGGTGGTAGTGGACTTCAGGCTGTTTCGGGTACTTGGATAAGTCAGGGTTGTCTTCTTTTGTATCGTGGTCGGAGAGAAACTACACGTTGATCTCGTGGTGTAACAATG